GTTTTTCACTATAGGGCACGTGCACTCGCCAGACAGACAGAGAGAGACATAGAGACAGAAAGCGAGAAATCACCCCCCAGGGGGGATGGTCACGCCTCAATCCCTTCTCCTCCATTCTCCTCTTGGGATTTTGGGCACGCACACACATGCGCCCGGCGTGAGTTTTAAGCCACCGGGTCCAGGATGCGAACCGCGGTCGCCTACGTGGGAGTCCAGCTACATAGCCATTATGCTAACTGCTGGTTCCCACTGAGCCTTCATTTTTGAAAAGGGCATACATACATCACTCAGAGAGTATAACAAGTAGACAGTTTATAACAAGAACAATGTGTGTAACACTTTATCCTGGAATCACAACTATAGAGTTTAACAATCACAAATATATTTATTAGTTAAAATTTTTACTGGCTTTTAAGAGCTTTCCTTACGCCATTATCCTACAATGGTTTGTTGGGTGAACACAGCAGGTTTTAGAACACAGCAGAACTTTCTTTTGAACTAAAGGTTTAGAAAGCATTCTCTGGCAGAGCATCAAGCTCTCCAGGCTCTTAGACTGATCTCCAGATAACCTTGTATCACCTGCATCCTCGGCTTGCCTCTCTTTAACATGCACTCCTGTAATTTACTCTAGCAGTCATTACTTTCCTATCTAAGAGACAACTAAAGGTAACTCCTCCCTGGGAGGCAGACAAGACAGCCTTACTGTTACAACTGTCTATGGTTTCTAAAATATATAAGTACTTACTGATCCTTTTTGGTTATATATGATGGCAAAGAAAAGATTATAGGAATGTCTTAGGGGTGGAGAAGGATTTCTTAAACAAGACACACAAAAAGCATAAAAAATAAAGATTAATCAATATAACTACAAGAAAGTTCAAAACATCTTCATAAACCATATATATCATAAATAAAGTAAAAAGACAAGAATAGGCTGGGCAAAGCCATTTGCAATACATATATATGACATATATAACTAACAAAGAATTAGTGTGTGATATATAAAAAACTCTTACTAATCAGTAAGAAAAAAAGGCAAATATGCCAAGAGAAAAATGGGCAAAGGTCTTAATACTCCAACACAGAAAAGGAAAATCAAATGGTCAATAAACGAATGAAGTCATTCAATTTCATTTGTAATTATGGAAATCTAAAACTGAAAACAATTTAAATATTCATCATCAACAGAATGCTAAACTGTGATATACTCACATAACAGAATGTTATGTTGTAGTTAGTAATGAACAAGCTGAACTTAAAACCACAGGTATTAACATGAATAAATTTCCAAACAATGTCAAGCAAAACAGTCATATAAACAGTATGATGACTTTTATATCATTTTAAACATACAATTTCTTAAACCAATTGAAGGGTAGAAGGGCATATACATTGTTGTCCTTTGCTAGGGGACTTCAAAACACTTGTGGAAAAACAGAATAAAAGTGTAAGTTTATTCTGGTGCAAAAGCATCTAAAATTCATATATAAGTTTTTCATACTACACATATTTCATACATTTTTTGCAGACTCTGCATATACCTCATAGAGACACTACAGATTTTCTCTGGTATTTTTCCAATATATAAAAAAAAATAATATAACAAACTATGAAAAAACAGTATTATAAATTATATATCCATACAACAAAATGTAGGAAGAGGATAATTAACCCCAAATTCAGTACAATGAATTTGCTCTCCTCAAAACTAATGCGAGAAGACTGAGAGTACACAGGTTCTTTAAATATTACCTATAATGTTTTCTTTCTTTTTTTTGGAGACGTTTTTGCTATAGGGCGCATGCGCTCACCAGAAAGACAGAGACAGAAAGCGAGAAATCACCCTACAGGGGGAATGGCCATGCTGCAATCTCTTCTCCTCCATTCTCCCCTCAGGATCTTGGGCACACACACACACACACGTGCCTGGCTTGAGTTTAACCCACCGAGTCCGGGACTCGAACCACAGTCAACTACATGGGAGTCCAGCAATATAGCCATTATGCCAACTGCTGGTCTCAAGTATTATCTATGTTTTATTTCTTAAAACAAGACAGATCTGAAACACACACGGTAAATGTTAAAATCTCATAAAGTTACGTGTGGATATCCAAATATTTATTTATCCTTACACTTTGCTATGTACTTCAAGTATTTGAATATATTTTAAATACAGAGAAAGTGATTCAAGATAACCTATTCAATCAAAGTAGAGGAGGCCTGATTTTGAAACAGTCATGTGTACTAAAGAAGTTTTTATATATGTTCATTTTTACTGACAAGTGTTATTAGCTTAACAGTAAATTAATATTCCAAATGTCTTACATTAGATACTTCAGAATACTTACAGATTCTAAATCTTTAATATCTTCCTCTAACTGTTTATTTTGCTCATTCATATTCATAATTATATTACATACAGACTGTCGAGGGTGCAATGTTCGATCAAACTGATGATACATGTTTCTCCAAAACCTTTATGACAAAGAAAAAATAAGTATCAATGAACTGTGTTTAAGAAAAATCAAAAAGAAATATTTAAATGATGCCAACTTACTTAAAATTGAAAGATACTGTATTTGGCTCCAAAACTGTAAATCTCTGAGATTTGGAACTATAGAGAGGATTCAAGTACTTCTTCTGTTCATCCAAAAGAAATGGCCATAGGGAATAAGTCTTCTCCTTCAATCTTAATGAGAAAAACAAATGTATTTTTCTGTAGCTGAAAAGTATTACTCATTTTTATAAAGTGTTTCCTTCCAAAGTAGATTTAAGCTTCAATTTTTTGTTTATGATTTAAATTCAGAGGTAACTGAATTCTGCACTTTTGTTCACCTTTTTCATTCATATTCAGGTAATAAATAAAGCCATGTCCTTAAACACAAGTATACCACTTTTTCTCACAACCCTACATGGTAAGGGATTCTTCTTAGCCCACGTGACTTGAAAAGTTGGTCTCTTCTGCACCTATTTCAAATTACCACAAACAGAACAAGACACTGGTGTAGCTCTGTTTGGTCTTATTCTCTTAATCCCACATTTGGGCTATAGCAGCTATAGCTGAGTGGGGGGAAAAAGGGAAATAAGCAAACTCAGAGAATTAAATTACAAATCTAAGAGCAGGTAGCTAAATTGTAGAATGGTTTAAATAGTGTATTTGCCAAGTAAGTATAACATCCAGGAGAAAGAGTGGACAATCTTCTTGTTTTTCCATGATCTCGACGATGATACCTAGGTGTATTCTTACAGAAAAACTACTAGGAAATACCCACTCTCATTTCCATCTTCTCACCTCTGAGGCTACTTGGCACTAACTGAGAAAAATACTTTTTTCTTAAAATAGCTCTGTATGTGCCAGCTCCCCCCAGTGGAATGCAGTCATGCTACAATTGCTTCTCCTTCATTTATCCATCCTGCTGTGATTTTAGGCACACACACAAGCGCACCCAGCTTGTTTCTCAAGTCGCAAGTGGCCATGTAGGTTCTGACTCCCTTAACCACTGGGCCACACGTCTGGTCCTTAAGTCGTTAACCATATCTTAAAATTGGTGACTAATATTTTCGGGAAATGAAGTAAAAATTTCTCTGTTCTAAAATATATATTCAGGCATAGCCACGGTGATGCAGGTGGGTACTGCTGCTCAATGCAGAAGCCATATAGGAAGGCCTGGTGTTTAGATTCTTGGTCATCCTGAACCCACCCATGGGCACACCTGTGATCCCTGCTGGCTGGAGGACT